CCCGAGCGGGCGCCGGGGCCCACGCTCCCGGCGCGCGACGCGCCGCCGGCGCCCCCGCCGCGCGCGCCGCCGCCGCCGACGCGGCCCGACGCCGCGGCGCCGCCGGCCGCGGGCCCCCACGCCATGGTCGCGCCCGTCTTCTCCGCGCGCGCGCCGCCGCCGAGCCTGCCCGAGCCGGCGCTCGGAGCCGCGTTCGCCGCGCCGCCCGCCGCGCCGGAGGTCGCGCCGCCCGTGCCCGAGCGCGCGCCGCCGCCCGCGTTCCCGGCCGCGCCGCCGCAGCCCATGGCGCCGCCGGTGCCGGAGCGCATGGAGCCGCCCGCGCCGCCGCCGCGAGAAATGACCATGCCGGCCTTCTCTGCCGTGCCGCCGCAGCCCACGGCGCCGCCGGTGCCGGAGCGCACGGAGCCGCCCGCGCCGCCGCCCCGCGAGATGACACCGCCACCCTTGTCGGCCATGCCGCCGCTCGTACCGGAGCACTTGGACATGCCACCGCTGGTGCCGGATCGCTCCGCGCCGCCCACGGCGTTCTCCGCCGCGCCGCCCGCGGCGTTCTCCGCCGCGCCGCCGCAGCCGACGGCGCCGCCCGTACCAGAGCGGCCGCCGCCGATGGAGCCGCCCGTGCCCCGGGAAATGACCGCGCCCGCGTTCTCCGCCGCGCCGCCGCAGCCGGCCTTCGCCGCCGCGCCGCCGCCGCCGACCGTCGGCGACGCGTTCGGCGCGCCGCCGCCGCCGCCGGCGACCTCCCGCCTGCCCGCGCCGTCGGACTTTGCGGCGCCGCCGCCCGTCCCCGAGCGGCCCGCGCCGGCGCTCGCGATCCCGGAGGCCTTCGCGACCTTCGGCGCGCCCTCCGCGCCCGCCGCGCCCGCGGTCCTCGCGCCGCCCGCGCCCGCGGCGCCGCCGGCGCTTCACGAGCCCGCGCCGGCGCTTCACGAGCCCGCGCCGGCGCTCTACGAGCCGGCGATCATCCAGCCCATGCCCGGGTCCTACGCCGCGCCGCCGCCCGAGGAGGAGACGCCCGAGGTCGCGGCGCCGCCGCCCGCGGCCCCCGTCGGCGAGGCCCTCTTCGGCTCGGTGGCCGAGCCGACGGTGACGTCGGGCGCCGACGGGCCCGAGTACAACCAGGTCAAGCTCTGGAAGCAGGGCTTCCACCAGGGCCTGCGCAAGAGCGTCGTGTCCACGGGCGTCGCCAAGCACGGCATGGCCATGCCGGGCATGATCGACGACGCCGCGGGCGACGACCCCTTCGCGGCGGCCGCTGGCGGCGGCTTCGCAAAGACCGCGGCGACGAAGGTGTTCGCCCCGACGGACGACGCGACGCCGCCGGACGCCAGCGCCGGCTGGGGCGCGTCGGCGGGGTTTCCCGAGCCCGCGGCGCCGGCGTTCCCCGCGCCCGCGGCGCCGGCGTTCCCCGCGCCCGCGGCGCCGTCGATGCCCGCGCCCGCGGCGCCGGCGTTCCCGGAGCCCGCGGCGCCGGCGTTCCCGGAGCCCGCGGCCCTCGCGCCGGCGGCGCCCACGCTCCCCGACCCGCCGGCGCTCGCGGCGCCGCCCGCCGCCTTCCCGGACCCGACGGCGCTCGCGGCGCCGCCCGCGGTCTTCCCGGACCCGCCGGCG